AGAGAGAGAGAGAGAGAGAGAGAGAGAGAGAGAGAGAGAGAGAGAGAGAGAGAGAGAGAGAGAGAGCATAGATAGTTGAGGTCAAGCGTGCTTGAAGTCGTGCAGTAGCGTAGAGTGGCGTCGTAGACTGATCGATCGATCACAGAGAGAGAGAGAGAGTCGAAGAGAGTTGTGCGTAGGCAGCTGTCAGCCAAATTAGCCGTTTGGCCGCCTCCCCCAAAAACGTTTATTACATGGCCCTGCGCGGCACTACGGGGGCCTGGGGAGTGCCAATTTGTGGCCGCCTCCCTTTGAAAAAGTAGTTACAAACCCTAGGGCTTCCGGCCAAGCACGGCACTACCGGGGCCTGGGGAGTTGGAATCTGCGCTGGGCCGATAGGCCCTGGCCTCATAGTACCGTGCGCGGCCCTACTGGGCGAGGGCCTACCGGCCCAGCTACAGGGCCAGGGATCGTCTCGAAAACGATCAACATCTGTTCTGTGCCGTACAATGCCAACGACGGTCCAGATCGCGAGTTGATGACATTAAAAACGATTAGCAGCCAATCTGGACTGTTGCGCACCAAGGAAACGAAGGCCCCAGATCAGCTGCTGGTCACATGCTGTGAAATAGGGATTATTATACTTGTAGTGATTTCCCCGGCTCTTTGGATGAACAGTGCTACCGGACCAAAATGGCTGGCGGGATCCAGCGGCTTAGCTCAGTTGGTAAGGCACGCAAGTGGCATTCAGGAGGTCTTGGGTTCAATCCCCAATGGCCTCGTGTACCTTCCTGGGCAAGGTTGGTGTGCCCACCACCTAGAGATAGGCCGTTGGTCTCCCCGAGTGGCATTGAGCAGAGACTGCTGATGTTCATAGGGGGAGGGTAGCGGATGGGAGGCACAGTGACTGGCCCATCGAAGAAGCTCAGCCCTCTGGCCGGTATCGCCCACCTGGTGTAGCAGAGCAGAGACTGCTGATGTTCATGTTCATAGGGGGAGGGGAGCGGATGTGAGGCACAGTGACTGGC